AGACAAGCTGGGGCACCAGACTGGAAAATCTACTTATTAAAGTTACGTTTTACCCCAAAGAACAACCTCAAAAATATTAGCCAATTGTTAACTTAAATGGACCGCTGCTAACGACGGTTTTGGATGAGTGCATGAGTGTCGGCAATCGTAACTGACCTGCTGTTGGTAGCCCATCTTAAATTTGACGCTGAAACTCGGGTTGCTAAAATTATTGTTAACTCTAAACTCCCCTATATAACTGTATTTGCCAGGTGATGAATTAATCGAAAACGTTCGCCCACCTAACTTGACTTCCTGAAACCCAAAACATTAACCAAGCAAGGTTCCAGGTGAGGAAATATTCAGAGATTTCCTATCTCATGAAATGTCAGCCGAAAATCTCGAATGCGTTTTCGACCCGAAGAAATTAATTGAATAAGATTTCAATATTTATTATCGTGCATCCTAATTTCAAGATATTCTAGTCACGTCAAGATGTCGGCTTTTGAAAGAACTTCTTTCTGACCGCTTATAGAGAGGAGGTGCATAAAATTACTCGTTTTGTAACAAATTACACACCCTCAAATGTAGACATGAACCGAATTATATTGCGACTGACTTTTGGGACACTCGCTTGGTTCAGTCGTCGGAATAAGGTGGTAATTGTTCCTGTTTGCAGGGACTGTTTTAGAATAGCCGCATGCCTGGTATCATATTCTAGCTCGACACACGAACTTTGGCCGGCTTTTTAGCTGCTGACTGACGGTGAGATTGACCACTGGTGGGCTGCTACAACCTTTGTCCTCCTTTCGGCTGTCGTAATTGTTGGTAAGTCAGCGTGTTCACTGACCTGCCCCTCGACTACCGACAGACTAATCACTTGTTCCTGCCCGCGTGGGCTGATGCCAATCTCGTGGACGCGGCGGTGAGTTTGGTCTGCCATCCTGTTGGCCGTGTTCGAAATGACTGGTAGGCGGGATGAAAGTCTATGGCTCTGTAAAGTGTGCCGGCGACGGCCAACGTTCCAGCAGCGGTCTAGCCATCTTGTCATTGACTCGGCCTATTACCCTGGCTTTATCAAAAGCGAAAGTGTGGTTCTCCTGCTGTACGTGGTCATGGACCATAGGCAGCTTATCTGTAGGTAGACAAGGGGCAAGTCAGTGAACACGCTGACATACCAACAATTACGACAGCCGCAAGACGGTTAGAGGCCACACGAGCCCACCAGCAGTCAATCTCGTTGTCAGTCAGTCAGCAACAAACAAGCAGGTCAAAGTTTGTCCGCCGAGCACGGATATAATACCAGGCATACGGCAAGGCTGAAACAGTCCCGGCAAACAGGAACAATCACCTAGTTACTCTGACGCTGAAACCGAGAAAGTGTCTGAAACGTCAGTCTCAATATAATTCAGTCCATGCCCTCGTACATTCTTCTTCGTCTTCTTTGGAGGGCGATGAAAAAGATAGGATATCTGGACCTTAAATATTTGCGCATATTACTCAAAGAGGTATAGTTTGGTTCTAAACTGCTAAGTACTTTTAAATCCTACCGGCCGTTACGGTTGAATGCAAAGGTTTCAAAATATGTCCGGTTCACAGTTTGCCTAATGGAAATCACAGCATGTGGGATGGGTCATAAAATTTTGCAACAGATGAGGATCACACGTTGCATACGTTAAAAGCAAACATTGGTAAATTGCCGGATACGATGTTTTATGAATGAACGGTTCACGGCCTTACAAATCGCATAATTAGAAACCATAATTCAGCCGAAAGATACATTTACCTTGAGTGTAAATTTGAAGATGTAATTTACTACTAAAGGGAAGAAGAAATAATATTTTAGTGCACGTTTCCCATAAAATGTA